GGCCAGTTGAGTGATTTTTTGTTTTTTAATGTGCATTTATTTTTGTATAGAAGGTTTCCATGTCTGCAGTCGTGCGTTTTAATGTTCTAATGTGTGTGTTTAATTCCTTGTTTATCTTTATCTGTATATGTCACAGTATGTGTATATACTATATATATTTATCTTTATTTTTGTGTGTTTGTTATAGAGTTTATTTATGTATATGTGTGTGTGTTTGTGTGTGTGTGTGTTTTGATGTGTGTGTGTGTGTGTGTTTTGAATTTTCACCACAAAAGCCCCTATTCCACCCAGATGAGTAGATCCAAAATCGAAGCAGCTTTAATCCTATTCCAGACAACTGCAATCAGACTCGACTCTGGACTTGCTCACAACATGCACACATGAGAACCGATGGCAAACCAAACTCGTGAACTCAGAATCGACAACTCTCTCTACCACCAGCCTCACTCTTCCTCACTCTCACATGCACACACGTACGAGGATCACCCTGAATGTCCACGTTGCAGAGACACACACACTCTGTACACCCTGTCTGCACCAACAGCTGGGCGGCTATGGCCGCCGTCGTCTTCCTCCTCCTAGCTATGGCCGCCGTCGTCTACCTCACTGGCCAGCTATGGCCGCTGTCTTCCTAACTGCCAACTTCCTCTCCGGGCACCTGCAGACCTCCGCGCACAAGATACCAAGGCAGCACTTCCGCGTGGCTCACAGGCGAATGAATGAATGGCTGGACACTGCCTCTTTATTTATACCTCTTTGGAGGTACCCAGGCCTGCCTCAAAACGTGTGGGCCTGGGCCAAAATGTGTGGCCCAGGGAAGTTTCCAGACGTTTGGCCTTCTGGGCCAAAACGTGTGAAACCCACAGCATGCTCCAGAACCTTCCCCACGTGCAGCCCCTACCCCTGGTACTTGCTGACTGGACTGGCCTACAGGGACCTACGACCTTCTAGAGCCTACAGACTTACAGACAGACTTTAGGCCTCAGTAGACTCAGATAGAGACTTCTAGAACAGACCTTCCTAAGCCTAACGGTAACAGACCTAACTCCTAATCTACAGACCTAGGGATCAAGCCCTACTGTCCGACCTACAGACTAGCCTAGGACATAGGGCAGGTCTAGGGATCGAATCCTACTCAGGTCACTGGGTCTATGTACAGGTATAGGATAGGTCCAGGGATCGAATCTCACTCAGCACACAGGTTCAATGTACAGGGTTAGGGCACAGGTCTGGGGATCGAATCTCTGTGTCTGCAAATGTCGGGTCTACTGGGTGAAACCATTTCACAACAAAGGCCCTTGAGTTGAGCCAATCCAACAATGAAACAGTCTCACCTCTATGGCGAGCAACATGGAGTATAACGGAAGCATTTATAACATACTTGCGGCACACTGAGGTGCGCACCTCAGAACACATCTGGCGCACCTCGCACACCGCACCGTGCACCGCACCCGATGCGGCGCAAAAAAAAAAAAAGGGTGCCGTGGCTGCCGCCCCAAAAAACAAAAAAGTGCAAGAGGTCATGGAACACCCTGTCCTAAGGAGGGGAAAAACTCACTTCACGTCTCGTAGGCACCCTCATCATTACCATATCTGACCCAAATCGTCACCTGTATAGACTCCAATGTATGCAGGTGACGATTTGGGTAAGATACAGTCATGATGAGGGTGCCTACAACGGTCACTGTTGGTGGATTGGCCGTTGTCTCTCTCTCTCTCTCTCTCTCTCTCTCTCTCTCTCTCTCTCTCTC